CGTAGATCGTCTCCCTAGCGGTGTGGCCAGAAAGCGCCCACCACAGAGCTTGCGCGAGAAGATCTCTCGCCGCCGCGTCGCCCCTGGGAGGGAGGGGGGGCGGGGGGGGGCGACGCACACGCGGCAGTAGCCTGTGGGGGTGGCGCCCCGAACACAGGCCGCAGGAGGGGGGCGCACTCCTCGCTGCCCGTCGGAGCTCCAGCAGGAGAGCCTGCCCAGGCAGCCGTCGCCCCTGCCCCTCGAGGCCTCGCGCGCGGCGCTGGGGGCGGAGGCCCTGGGCGACGGGGAGGCGCCCCGGAGGGGTCCTTGGGCGGTGCGGTGGCAGAACGCGCGGCGACCTCTCGACGCCCCAAGAGACCCCACCGCACGGTCCGTCAACAGCACGGCGCTGGAGCACTGGAGGCGCCCGAGACGTCCTCGGAGGACGACGCACGTCTCAGAACCGCGCGCTCACCCTGGATCCTCACAGACGAATGTGGGCGTGGTGCTGGTGTTGCCTTCGGGAGGCCCACTCGGCGAGGAAGAATCCGGAAAACAAAACAAGACCGGATCGGGAACGACAACCGGAACCAACAACACTCCTCTCACTAAAATGGGCGAAGACCAGAACCAGAACCGAAACCAAATCCAAAAGGTCGCCCCGACACCTAAAAAGATAAAGAAACCATAGCCAGAACCGAAGCCGTGACCTGGGGGACCTTCGGAAAGGATTAGAAGAACCAGAAAACCGGAAGCGGAACCAGAACCCAAACCGCAACAGTCACCTGGGAGCTCACCTGGAGGAAAAAGGAAGCCAGAACCAGAATCAGAAGTCTTCCTCAAGGCCAGAAAATAAAGAGGCAGTCTGGAAACAGATCCTTAGCCAGAACCAAAGCTGACACCTGCAGGACCATTTCCGGGGACAAAAGAAAAGAGAAGCGGAATCAGAACAAGAACCAGAATGAACAGCACAAAAAGAAGCCGAAACCAAAACCGTGCCCTGGGGAACCAACCCTCTCCAGTGCCCGGAAAACGAAGAAGCCAGAACCACAACCCGAACCAGAACCAGAACTGGAACAGGAGTCGTGACCTGAAGAAGCTGGCACTGGAAGTAAATTCAAAACCCGAACCATCTGGGGGAGAAGAGAGAAACCGGAATCCGAATAAGAACCAGAACCGTGACCCGGGGGTCTGTCAAGATAGATGGGGCCAGAACCAACACCAACAGTAGAAACTCAATCTGGCAGACCTCTTCCAGGGGAGACAAAAAAGAAACTGGAACAGGAATTTAGACCAGAACCTTGACCTGGGAGTCTCTTCACAAGGGCGAAAAAAGAAACTGGAGCCAGAACCAGGACAAAAATCGAGACCCGGGAGCTTCCTTGAGCACGGGGGAAGAAGAAGAAGAAGAAGAAGAAGAAGAAAGCCAGGTCGAGGTCGCGCGACCACCAGCCCGTGAGGGCGCGCAAGCCGCGCTGGAGCTCACCACACCTCCGCCAACTCCTCGTATCAGTGCACGGCAGCAGCCGACGCCCACCGCGAGGCCCTCCCTCCCGCTAGCAGTAGCGCTGAGTTCAGCAATCGCGGCAGCGCGACCACGCGCATCAAAAAATTGAGGCACTGCGGCACCGCCTAGCACTAGCCTCAACGCGTGCGCCAAGCCCAAGCGGTGATGAGAGCGGGAGTAGCCAGAGGTAGACGAGAACGAGGACGGAGGGCGAACCGCAGCAGTAGACAGGCAGAGCACCGTGCTTTGATGCCGGGGTCGATCACATCTCGCTGCGATGGCGAGGGGCAGGGAGAGGTGCCGCACCCTAGATGCCTCGGAAAAAAATCGCGAACACGCATGTCACGTTCATCGGTCAACGACAGCCTCCCCCTCCCCCCAACGTTCAAAGCTGGCGGTGGGTCTGATGAGTTGCACTTCGGCCGCAGTCTGCCCCGCGCGTGCCAACTTTGAGCTTGGGGGAGCGGTGGAGTGTCCACTATTAATTGTTTCCCCCACACCGTACCCCCGAGCGGCTCCGACCGGGTTCCCAGGTCTGCGCACCCGTGCGGCAGACGTCACGCTGCGGGCAGGAGTCTGCACTTCCGGTGATCTGTGCGACCCCTATGTCGCACACCGCGACTGCGGCTGTAGGCGGCCGTCAGAACCCTTCGCAAGCACTTGGAAAAAAGAGTGCCCCTCGAGAAACATCCAATAGACCCACACACACACACACACCGAAAGCACTTGGCACTTGAAGAAAAGAGTGCTCCTCGAGAAACATACAATAGACCCACACACACACACACACACACACGCACGCACGCACGCACGCACACACACACACACGCACGCACGCACGCACGCACGCACGCACGCACGCACACACACACACACACACACACACACACACACAAGAAACGGGTGCCACGACACGCTCACGTCCAGTACAGAGTCTCAACGCTTCTGCGCTTCAGAAACAAGCACTGGTCGCTTCACTCAGTCTCGTGTGAGGGGGGCACTCCCGGGCAGCCCCCGTCGGCGGGCCAGAAGGTGGCCCAAGACTTGCCCAGGACCTGCCCCAGGCGGGGCACGACGGGGTTGCCCAGGCACTCCTAGCACAGGAGGAGGAGGAGGAGGAGGAGGAGGAGGAGGAGGAGGAGGAGGGGAGGAGGAGGAGGGAGGGAGGAGGAGGAGGAGGAGGAGAGGAGGAGGAGGAGGAAGAGGAGGAGGAGGAGGATCCTAAGGATGCGCGGTGAGGATGAGAGGGCCTTGGCCGCCCGTGTCGAAGCTCTTCGAGCGGGGGGCGGCCAACGAAAGTGGCCAACCAGGGGCCGAGGTGGCAAGCATGCGAGGCAGGAGAGCCCAGAATCGAATCGATAAATCGGATCGGCAATCGACATGAATCGGATCGGCGGAAATCGGCAGCCGAATCGGGAAAAGTCGGATCGGCGAAAATCGGCAGGCTAGTCTGCCTCCAATAAGGAATCGGAGCCCAGATCGGAATCTCAAGTCGAATCGAGTCGGAATCGGAATCCATCGAAATCGAATCGAATCGAATCGGAGAAATCGAAACGAGCCCTGCGAGGGTACCCGTGGGAAGGTTGCCCATCCTTCCTGTGCGGGTTGACAGTAGCCTTAGGTCGGGCCTGTCCCCCCACAGGCGCATCTCGGACGAAGAATGAAAAATACCCCACAAATGAAGGGGCCCCAGGACACACAGATCCGCCGACCCTCGGCGTGTGGAAGACGCTCTTCCGTTGGTCGCCGTCGTCGTCGTCGTTGTCTCCGTCTCCGTCGTCTCCTCGTCGTCTCCGTCGTCCCCAGTCTCTTTTCCATGGGCCCTCATCCTGAAGCGCGCTAGCCAAAGCGACATTGAGTAACGTTGTCGCTGAGTCGAAGGGAAGCCCCTTCCCTTTGATCCCTTCCCCACCGGGGGGGGGGGGGGGGTCGCCGGGGGGGGTCGCCACCCAGATACGCCTCCCCCCCGGGCGGTTCTGGGGCCCAGAAAACCCCCAAGACGCGGCAAAAGTGCCCCAAGAGGCTCCAAGACGGTCCTCGAGGGCCCCGCATCGCCGAACTATCGGTCGAACACGCCAAAGTCGCCTCCAGACGGCTCAAGAGGTTTCGAGAACGTCCCAAGAGGCCTCCAAAAGCACTCCCAAGAATGCCCCAAGGTGCAAAATTCATAGCATTCCCTTTGTTTTTTGACGGTTTTTGGAGTTCTCGCGTTTTCGGCTTCCCGACGCTTCAAGACGGCCCAAGAGGCCCCCAATATCGCCCCAAGACGGGCCAAGAGGCCCCCAAGACGGCCCCAAGACGACCCAAGATGGCCCCAAGACGACCCTAGAGGCCTCCAAGACGGCCCAAGAGGCCCCGAAGACGGCTCCAAGAGGGAGCCCAGACAGGGGAGCCGAACGGACATTTCGAGCCCTCGCCCTGAGAGGCGCCCGGGCGGCCCCCAGAGGCCCCCAAGAAGCCCCCCAAGAGGCCCCAAGAGGCCCCCAAGAGACCCCCAGGAAGCCCCAAGAGGCCCTCACGAAGCTCCCAAGAGGCCCCAAGAGCCTCCGAAGAGGCCCCAAAACTACCCTCAAGAGACCCCCGAGAGCGCTCGTCGTCGCCGTCGCCGTCGCCGTCGCCGTCGCCGTCGTCGTCGTCGCCCTTCAGGGTCGGCGGCACTGGCCGTAAGGCCTTCGCAATAAATACACACAAATCCATATTTTCCCATATTTTTGGGGTTTCTGTCTTCCCCCCCACTTCCCATATTTTCCTGGGGGTCGACGATTAATTGTGTCTGTGTGTTTCTTTCCCTCCTGAACAAATACCCCAAAAATGCTCAAAAATAGTCCAATAGTCCCCCAACTATTTTTTTACTATTTCTGGAGATCCCCCCTGTACAGGGACAGGCCCGACTTAGCAGCAGCCCAGGGCACACCCAGCACGGGCCCCAGAAGGGGCACTGCTGGGACGCCCGCGCCCTCCGCGAGCGCAGCAGGGGCCTCTCCCTGGACCGCCCCGCGACCGCCCTGGACCGCCCCGCGGCGCCCCTCGCGGCGGGCCTCCGGAAGCCGCCCGCCCCCGCGAAGAGCCCTCCAGCTGGCCATCGCTCGGACGTCCATCCCCTGGTGCTTTTCTCGGCCTCGTGCGCGGCTTTTTTCCGCGGGAGGAGCCAAGGAGGCTCCTGAGGAGTCCCCGCGCCGAGGCAAAGTGCACGCGTCCGAGCGACACCCAGGTCCAAGAAGCCCCCCGAGGAGCGCCAACGGTGACGAGGTCCGGCTTCTCTGGGAAGGCAAAAAGCCACCCCCACCCCCAGTCCCGACCCCATCCTGGAACCCGCGACCCAGGAGGTCGGGACTGGGGGTGGGGGGGGGGGGGGGCTTTTCGGGGCCCGAGCAGGGAGAAAACCCACCCCCCAACCCCAGCCCCGACCCCTGGAATCGCCGGCTCGGGCATTGGAGTCGGGGTTTGGGGGCGGGGGTGACTTTCGCCTTCTGCTCCTCGAGGCGTCGCCCCCCCCCGGGCACGCGGCGCCGCACGGCATGCCGGCTCGGCGGCAGGGAGGCAGATGTGCGGGCCGCGCGGCGCGAGCGGAGGGCGCACGCCGGAGAGGCGCGCGGTGCAGCCTCTCGAGACGAGGGGGGGGGCCGCGGCCCCACGCGGTTCCCGGACCCGGGCCGGCCAGAGGGAGGAGGGAGGAGGGGGAGGAGGAGGGGGAGGAGGAGGAGGAGGAGGAGGAGGAGGAGGAGGAGGAGGAGGAGGAGGAGGGAGAGGAGAGGAGGGAGGAGGAGGCGGAGGAGGAGGAGGGAGGAGGTGGACGAGGAGGAGGAGGAGGAGGAGGGAGGAGGGGAGGAGGAGGAGGAGGAGGGAGGAGGAGAGGAAGGAGTAGGAGGAGGAGGAAGGAGGAGGAGGAGGAGGAGGAGGAGGGAGGAGGAGGAGGAGGAGGAGGGAGGAGGAGGAGGAGGGAGGAGGAGGCTGGCCCAGGGCTGGCTCCCTTGGAGCCCGTGGGCCTCCCTGGACGGCGCCTCGGCGGACTGGAGGCAGAACAACTCAGCCTTCAGGAGCATGAGACCCTCCGCCGGCCAAACCGCAGGACATTCAAGGGTGCCCGCCGCAAGAATGCGCACGGGCGTCCAACGAACACGAAAAGCACGAGGGCACCCTACCCGAACCCACCTCGATCTTTTTGCCTCAATCCGACCGTACCAGACGCGCTGGTTTCCGATGAGACGCACAGAGACATACTAATACTGTATGTTCTCCTTGGAGGCGCGCGTCCGACCCGATCATATAGTATCTCCATATTGCAACATGTCGTTTCCCGAGCGGTGTGGCCAAAAAGCGCCCGCCATGACGCATGTGCTATAAGATGTCTCGGTGCAGGTGTCGTTCCTGGGGGGCGACGCACATGTAGTATAAGTATGTTGGGGTGACGCCGAAAAAAAAATGAGGGCCCCCTCCCCAACCGACCTCGATCTTTTGCCTCGGTCCGACCGTACCAAAACGTATGTGTGTTGTGTTTCATCTTCGGGACCTTGTCTGTCCCGTCGCGTTCCTGTCCGCGTCGAATCCGTGTCGAATCTATGTCGCACTCGTCGGATCCGCGTCGAGTCCACGCCAAATCTGGGTCGAACCCGCGCCAAATCCGCGTCGAGGCCGCACCGAGCCCGCGTCGGGCACAAGGGAAGACACCAGGCTGGGGGACAGGCGAGGTCCCCCGAAGATGCAACGTAATTTGTCTCAGTCCGACCGTACCATACGTGCGAGCAGGAGGAGGAGAGGAGGAGCAGGAGGAGGGCGAGAAGGCGGAGGGGGAGAGGGAGGAGGAGGAGGAGGAGGAGGAGGAGGAAGGGGAGGAGAGGAGAGGAGGAGGAGGAGAGAGAGGAGGAGAGGAGGAGTAGAGGAGGAGGAGGAGGGAGGAGGAGGGAGGAGGAGGAGGAGGAGGAGTAGGAGGAGGAGGAGGAGGAGGAGGAGGGAGGGGAGGAGGAGGCCAGAAGCTCTCTGCGGGCGAAGCCACGGGCCCGGCGCGAGGGCGGCGGCGGCGGCGGCGGCTCGCCCTGCAGCTGGTCAGCAGCAGGTAGCACATCAGGGGCAGGATGCTGGCCCAGCCAAGGAGGCAGCTCCAGGACTGCAAGGGGGAGGAGGAGGAGGAGGAGGAGGAGGAGGAGGAGGAGGAGGAGGAGGAGGAGGAGAAGCGAACGTCCGATAGGAGGAGGAGAGGAGGAGGAGGAGGAGGAGGAGGAGGAGGAGGGAGGAGGAGAGAGGAGGAGGAGGGAACGCATGAGTGAACGTGAGTCGTCCTTCCTTCCTTCCTTTCTTCCCTCCTTCCTCCCCCCTCCCAAATGGCGCCTTGCCCCTGGGTGAGGGCCCACAAAACTCCTGCTGCTGCCGCTGCCGCTGCCGCTGCCGCTGCCGTGCCGCTGCTGCTGCTGCTGCTGCCTCCTCCTACTGCTCCTCCTTCTCATCATCATTCCTCCCATCATCATCATCATCATCATCATCATCATCATCATCATCATCATCATCATCATCATCATCATCATCATCAGCAGCAGCAGCAGCAGCAGCAGCAGCAGCATCATAATCAGCATCAGCATCATCATCAGCAACATCATCATCATCAGCAGCAGCATCATCAGCATCATCATCATCATCCTCCTCATTCTCATCATCATCAGCCTTGTCCTCATCCTCATCATCATCCTCATCATCATCAGCATCAGCAGCAGCATCATCAGCATCAGCAGCAGCATCCTCAGCATTATCATCTACATCCTCTTCCTTATCATATTCCTCATCCTCATCCTCATCATCATCATCATTATCATCATAATCATAATCATAATCATCATCATCATCATCATCATCATCATCATCATCATCATCATCATCATCATCAGCAGCAGCAGCATCATCAGCAGCATCATCGTCGTCATCATCAACATCATCATCCTCATCCTCATCCTCACCCTCGTCCTCCTCATCCTTATCATCATCCTCCTCCTCATCCTCGCGCTGGGGGTGGTCTCACGCCGCGCAAAAGCCGCGCCCCCTCCGCCTGGGCCGATCAAGTAGGCAAGGGCCCAGGGGTGGGAAGAGCGCTGCGAGGACGCGCGGCAGAAGCTGCGGGGTCGGACCTCAGGCAGGAGGCCGCGGTGCTCAAGAGCCCTGACATGGAGGAAGTGGTGCGCAATCCTGATGGGCCGGTTTTTCACCACCACTACCGTAGGTAGGAGAGGGAGGAGGAGGGAGAGGAGGAGGAGGAGGAGGAGGAGGAGGAGGAGGAGGACCTCCCCATCCTCCCTTCCCCCCCGTCCAATGGTAGTGGTGGTGGAAAATTTGCCAGTCAAAGCCTGCGCCGATCGTGGAGCAGGCGGTCCAGAAGGGCGCTGCGTGATGCGCTGGCGGGACAACCGCACTCCACGGCGGAGGCGAGGGGCGCGTCGGCCTCGCAGCCCTCCGAGTTCACTGGGGAGGGCGGCGTCCCCGTGCTGGGAGGGGTCCCCGAGCCACTGCTGCCCACTGGGGGGCTCGCCCCTGAGGTCCGAGAGGCAAGAGGCCGTGCGGGCGCAGTGCGAGCGGAGGGCGCTCCCGCTCGAGAGGCGGGAGCGACGAGGCCGCGCCGCGGGGAAGGCCGCAGGCGAGGGCCCTGGGGGGCTGCACGCTCCCCCCTCGCGGAGCGGTCAGCTGGAAGACGAGGGCCGCAGTCACTTGGAGAGGGTTTGCCCCGCGCTCGCCGCCTGCGGGTGGGGCGGGGGCACCAGGAAGGGAGGTGCTGGTGTGGCCCGTGGCGCGCTTGTGTGGCCCAGTGGGCGTTTGCATGGCCAGCGGTGCCCCGGACACTGTGGATCCTCTGGTACGGCAGAGGGGGATTAAATAGCTTCCAGGAAGAGACCCACACCCTCCTCACAGCACATAAAACAGCATTTGACGAGCCTCTAAGGGCATCAGAAGATCTTCCTTGGGGGGCTGGCCTGCAGGAAGAGACCCAGACCCCCCCCCTCACAGCCAATAAAAAACGCACGGCGAGATGATTATGAAGACCTTCTAGGGGGGCTGTAGAGCCCCTTGAAGCTGCTGACGAGTTTCTTGGGGCCTCCGGAGAGCTAATTGGGGCCTCTGGGGAGCTCCCTGCGGCCTGACTGGGGCCTCTTGGGTCTTGTTGTGGCTGTTTGGGGGCTGCCCTGGGCTCCCGTGGGCCAGTCTTGGGGCTCCCTTGGTCACCTCTTTGGCCTTCTCGGGGCCGTCTTGGGGCTCTCTTGGGGCCCCCGCGGCCGCCTGGGGGATCGCTTGGGGCCGTCGTGAGGCCAGACTGTGCCGTCCAGGGGTCATCCCAGGCCGTCTCGGATCCCTCCAGAGGCCCTCTTGGGCCAACTTCGAGCCCCATCTGATCCCTCCAGGGCCGTGTTGGGGCCGTCGTGGACTCACCCGCGCGGGGGTGGCGGCTCGCCTGCACGCGACCCTCCCCGAACCTCCACCGCCCCCTCCCCCCCCCCCGACCTTCCACCTCCTCTTCCTCCTGCTGCTATCCTTCAAGAAAGAGGTACGGGCAGCAGGAGGAGGAGGAGGAGGAAGCGGAGGAGGAGGAGGAATAACTTAACAATCGTGCTGGTGAGGGTCGCGGGGGGGAGGATGGGGATAGGTAGTAGCATCAGCAGTAGAGGGACGGCGATCAGCAGCGAGAACGAGAGAGAGGGAGACAGGGAGAGAGAGAGAGAGAGAGGGAAAAAAAAGAGAGAGAGAGAGAGAGAGAAAGAGAGTCGAGGAGAGAAGAAGATGAGAAGGGAAGGAAGAGGAAGGAGGAAGGAGGAAGGAAGGATGAGAAAGGGGGGATAAAAGGGGGTCCGAACCGGTCCAAGGGGGCAAACATTGAGCTGGAATCGACGATGCATCGCCGATAGATCGGCGATAGACACCCGATGGCGAATCCGCAAGTTCCTGGGCGGGGCGGGCTATTCGGACCCTGTCGGGCTCCTATCGCCGATGAGTGGGCGATCGGGGCTCGACTCGTTCCCTCCTGAGCCTCTAACCCCACCACCCCTGAGATGGCCCCTGATGGACGTGGCCGCCGCTGAGACGCTAAGCTGAATCGAATCGCGAAGCCGGATACAGTCGACCCGTATCGTGAGGATGCGCGCTAGGGATGCAAGGGCCTTGGACGGCCATGACGACGCTTTCCGAGCTGGGCGCGGCCCACAGGAGTGGCCACGGCTGAACCGAGGAGGCAAGGATGCAAGGGTACCCTTGGTCGGCGGCGAGCGAGGGGGGGGGAAGTGAGAAGGAGAAGGCCCTCTCGGAGGGCTCGGAAGTCCCCCGACCTCCTCGGAAGTTGTCTGAGTCCTACCCGAAGGCAGAAGCACGAGGGCCTCTGAGAAGTCCCGCCGCCTTCTGAGAAGGCCTTCTCCTTCTCGTCTCCTCCCCTCCCTCGCCGCCGACCCAGCATGCAGCAGGCCGACTGCAGGGTTGGACACGGACCGGCTCGCGCCCGCATCGGCGCGGAATCCGGTCGGCATCGGGCGAACCGTCTGCGGCCGCGGGCCGGGCTCGGCCACTCCTGCGGACGGGGCCTTGGAGGAGTCGCCGGGCCGAGGCGAGGAGTGGGGGACTGCTTCGGGCCGGGCGAGAACGTGGGGATAGCAAAGCTCCTCCTCCCGTCCACCTCCTCCTCCTCCTCCTCCTCCTCCTCCTCCTCCTCCTCCTCCTCCTGCTCCTGCTCCTGCTCCTGCTCCTGCTCCTGCTCCTGCTCCTGGTCCTCCTCCTCCTCCTCCTCTCCTCCTCCTCGCTCCTCCTCCTCCTCCCCAGCGACTCCTTCCGACTCCTCCTTCTTCCTCTCCTGCTCTGGTCCTCCTCCTCCTCCTCCTCCTCCTCCTCCTCCTCCTCCTCCTCCTCCTCCTCCTCCTCCTCCTCCATTTCATTTCCTTATAAATAACTTCTCCCTGTCGCATCCCGAGGCCAGTTTTTAGGGCGGGCCGGGCGTTTCGTCCGAGACTTCCTCACCATTGATACCCCCTGAAGCTTCAAAATTGGCAACAGCTTCACAAATGGAGGGCGCGCGGTTTCCACAATGTAGCTCTCGCCTTAGCGCCGCGTGCATTCCCTTCTGTTATAAAATTTGCAAGAGCTGCACGGATTGAGGGGAACCCGTTTTCAAAATGTGGCTCTCGCCTCAACGCAGCGCACATTCGATTTAGAAATTTGCAAATGCTTCACGGATTGAGGGCGGTTCCTTTCCAAAATGAGGCTCCCGCCTTGACGCCGCGCACATTCGTTTCAAACACTTGCAAGAGTTTCACGGATCCCCATGATCAAAGAACCAGAAATTGTGTTGTGGAAGGATGCAGGATTATGAAGGTGCACCAGTTACGTTCTTTCTCGGTGGTGAAGTCCCAAGAACGGCGTTCTGGCACGATTCAAGATCGTCGAAAAGCAACAGTCCAGCTGATCCGTGGCGTTGGAATCCTGGGAACAATGTTTTGGCATGCTTCAGGGTCTTCAAACGGTTATCTTCCAACGAGGCAGTTCCCTCAATGGAAATGAACCGTTGTAGGGGCCTATGAAGAGGGAGCTTGGAGCGAGGGTTGATTCCAACATCGTTGATGACTCTTGGGTTTACACTGGTCCTCCTAATCCTCCTCCTCCATCCCCCTCGTCCTCCTCCTTCTCCTTCTCCTGCTCCTCTTCCTCCTCCTCATCATCTCGTCATTACTTGCAAGAGCTTCACGGATATAGGTCGGTTCCTTTTCAAAATGTGGCTCTCGTATTAGCGCGCCGCACACTTTCGCTTTGAGAACGCACAACAGTTTCAATGATTCTTATGGTGAACGTTCCAGGAACGGCGTCTTTGAACGATGTCGGACTGTCAGGGCGCAACAGTTACGTTGATTCGCGGTGCTGAAGACCCAGAGATAATGTTCTGGCACGACTCAGGCTCGTCAAGACGCACCAGTAGCGGTGATTCGCGGCGTTGACGTCGCAAGAATGGTGTTCTGTCACAGTTCAAGATTTTCCGACGATTGTTTTCCAAGTGGGCACTTCCTTCAGTAGAAGTGAAGTCTTGCAGGAGCCTGTGAAGAGGGAGCTTGGAGGGAGGGTTTACGACAAGATCGTTGATGAGTCTTTGGTTTATGCTGGTCCTCCTCCTATTCCCCCTCCACCTCCTCCTCCTCCTCCTCCTCCTCCGCCTCCTCCTCCTCCGCCTCCTCCTCCTCCTCGTCCTCCTCCTCCTCCTCGGGGAGTCGGCGAATCCACTCCTCGTCCTCCTCCTCCTCCTCCTCCTCCTCCTCCTCCTCCTCCTCCTCCTCCTCCTCCTCCTCGAGGGAGTCCGCGAATCCGCTCGCGGGGGCCGGGCGGGCCGGTGGCTCCCCGCGCGCCCCGCGCCGTCCGGCGGTGGAGGGCCCGCGGCGGCTCGGCGGCCCGAGGAGAGGGCCCCCCCCGCGGTCCAGCTCCGAGGCTAAGGAGAGAGTCGGCCCTCGGGGCCGAGGCTCGGAGCGGGGCCGGCCTGAGGCAAGGGGCGACCCCGTCTTATTTCCCTCGCCCTCCTCTCTTCCCTGCTCCCCTCTCCCTTGGGAATCCCATTGCCCGCGAGAGGCCCTCCATCCGTCGCCTCCTCCTCCTCCTCCTCCTCCTCCTCCTCCTCCTCCTCCTCCTCCTCCTCCTCCTCCTCCTCCTCCCTGTTGCCCACCGACCCTGGGCGGTCTTCGGCGGTCTTCGGCGGTCTCCGGCGGTCTTCGGCGGCCTTTTTGACCGTCTGCCTTCGGCTGCCTTCCGCACGGCGGCTGAAGGGTTGCGTTCAACGAGGGGTCCATGGCCGAAAGCCCAGCTGATGGACAAAATCATGCAGGGCGTTATGTGGCTTATTCTTCTCGCTCCACCGCCCCCCACATTCAATACTTACGGGAAATGGCGCGATTCGTAGATCGCTCGACGGGGCGAGATCCTGCCCTCCACGGTCAAAGCCGATCAATGCTGACTTAGGGTGGGGCAGGAGGGGAGGCTTCTGAGCGTGCGCGAGCACGCCAGTCGTGCGGGCGGTGGAGGATTATGTCCAGCAATGCAAAGCAATACAACGCAATGTTATGAAATGCAAACCCGTGCAAAGCGATGCAATGCACATCGAAAGAAGACAACGCAACGCAGAGCGATACAACGCAGTACAAAGCAACACAAAGCAATGCTAGGCAAAGCGATGCAAGTCAAAGCAACGCAAAACAATGCAAAGCGATACAATGCAAAACAACGTAATGCAAAACAAGGCAAAGCAACGCAACGCAACGCAAATACATGAAAGCAATGTAATCCGATGCAGGGCAACACGAAGCGATGCAAACAACAAAGGAATGGGATGCAAAGCGATGCACCGCAATGCAAAGCAATGCAAAACAATGTAAGGCAACGCAAAGCAACGCAAAGCAATTTATAATGCAGTGTTGTGTAACGCAAATCAATGCACAGCGACGCAAAGCAATGCAAAGCCATGCCGAGCAATGCAAAGCGGTGCGAAGCAATGAAAAGCAACGAAAACGATGCGTTGCAAAGCAATGTAATGCAAAGAAAACCAACGCAAGGCAACGCAACGCAAAACAATGTAAAGAGATTGTCATGCGATGCAAAGTAATGCAAGGCAACGCAAAGCAATGCGCAAAAAATGTAAGGCGTCGAAAAGAAATTCAAAGACGTGCAACGCAATGCATAGCAACGCAAAGCAGTGCAAAGACATGTGGTGCGATGCAAAACGGTGCAGCGCAATGCAAAATAGTGCCTTACAAGGCTAAGAAACACAACGCAACACCGAGCAATGCAAAGCAAGGCAAAGCGATGCAAATCAATGTAAAGCAATGCAACGCAATACAGAGCAAGGCAAAGAAATACAACACAATGCAGAGCAACGCAGCACAACGCAAAGCTACGCAAAGCAACATGATGCGATGCACAGCAATGCAAACCGACGCGAATCAATGCGAAACAAAGCAGTGCGACGCAAAACTGTGCAACGCAATGCAAAGCAAAGCAACATCATGCGAAAGTCAACGAAGCAACGCAATGCGGCACAAAGCAATGCAACGCAATGCGAAGCCACGTAATGCGATGCAAAGCGATGCAAAGCGAAGCAAGCAATGCAAAGCAACGCAATGCGATGCACAGCAGTGCCAAGCGGTGCACAGCAACGCAAACGAAACGTAGCGCGATGCAACGCGACACGACGTAAAGGCAAAGCGACGCGGCCCGGCGTGCAGAAACGCAACGCCCGCATCTCGAGGCCCAGTGTGAGAAGTGAGAAGGCCCAGGCGAGCGCGCGTCGAAAGGACCCCCCCCAAGAGAAAAAAGCCGGGAGAGAGGAGGCCCAGGCGAGCGCGCGTCCAAAGGACCCCCCCCCGAGAGAAGAGCCGGGAGAAAATGCCTCAGGAGAGAGAGAGAGGCCCGAAGTGGAAGCACTGTCTGGGGCATCAACAGGAACTTCCGGCGGTCCGCGCGGATGCCTCAGATCCGAGCTCGGACCCACCTCCCTGGCGCGCTGGAGGCGCCGCCGGGGGGGTCCAGCGCGGGCCCAGGGAATCCGCACCCGAAAGGTTATGCTCATGCAGCTGTCGCTCTTCGAATCATCATGCAGACTCTGTCCGGTGTCATGCCTCGCCCCCTCTCGAACACAGCAGGGTAGCGCTGCCCTGCCGATCAGGTAATAGTTGCTCTTCTTGACCATCCCCTGCCCTCACCCAGCTCACGCCGTGCCCTCACCAGCATGCTGGGAGACGGCTGCACGGGATGCACACGTAGCGTGGCAAATGGTACGTCGGCTTGGTTCTCGCCCATCCTTTCTCCTTTCTCCCCCTCCCCATCCCCCTGCCTCGTCCCCCTCCCCAAGCACCGATGCCCCCTCCTCTACCCCATCGGCAAAGAGGAGCAAGCGAAGCTGCGAAGAGTCGTACAGAAAGAGTGCACGCGGAAAGCAGGGCAGGAAAGTAGGGCGTGAAACAACTTGGAAGCTAGGTTTGGATGGGAGGGAGGGCGGAAGAGGGAAGAGCAACGAGTAGAAGAATAATGGCGGAAGAGAAGGAGGAGGAGAAGGACAAGGGGGGATAATGATAATCACGTGAGCGGGGACGCGGACTAGGAGGAGAAAGAGCGACGAAAGGGAGAAAGAGAGAGAGAGAGAGAACCAAAAAAAACTGAACGGCCAAGCTGGAGAGCAATCGCGCCATGGCGCCACGCGGCCGCAGGGGCGCCAACGCTTGGGCGTTGCTCCATGGGGAGGCCCCCACAGACCCCACCGAGCGGTCCGCCACCGCACGGTCCTGGGGCCCCAGAGGACCCCGTCGCCCGAGACGCCCTCGGAGAGCGGGCTCACTGACTCACCACCAGGTGTGGCCACCGCACCGTTTGGGGGCCCCCGAGAATCCGAATCTGGCCAAGATCGGCGTGTTCCCTGGAGCGCTGGCCCCAACTTCCCGAGCATCATGGAGTGCGAAAAACGTTCCCGCCGGCGCCCTCACGGATAAGAAACCTTGCGCGAGGAGCGCCAAACTCCACGGGCAAGCTCTCGC